GGTGATGTTGGAGAGACCCCCTCCGGGCATCCGGCCTCCCCTTTGGTCAATGGCTCTGAGTCTGGGAACTGTGCCTTTGTCTTGGGGCAGCTTCCCTCAGCCATGCAATCAATGATTCATCGCTGATTCCTCTTGTCCTATAAAGGAAGCCAGCCCGTCAGCTGCCCAGCTGGCTACACATCTGTGAACAGCTGCCCAGCTCCCTGTGGGTCGTGCCCTCCAACCTGGCTGCTCATTACCATAATTACCCCGACCTGGCTTCTGAAAGGCCCATGCTGCCACCCGCCCTATTTTATTGCTCTGAGATCCTCTCAACCCCATCAATCGGGGAGCCCAGTTCTGTTACATCTTCTACCGTCAGTCTGGGCCACTCATGGAAGGCTGGCCAGCAGCCTCTCCATGAGGAGGTGCCCTGTCCAGTGCACCCTCTGTGGGCGAATAGGAGGTGTGCTGGGTCCCCGTGCAGAGACCGGGCGGCTGGCTTTCAGTTGCGCACTAGGCAGTGCAGGCCCCTCACTACACCACCTGCCGCAGCAGCTCCCGCATTTCCACTTCGTCACCAGCTGTGGCTTTGTCAGTTCCAGGAGCCAAGTAGCAGTGTACCAGCACGGTCTCATGGGGGCTCTGCCTGGCTAGTAAGTGCTGCATTACAGCAACTGCTCTGTATGCATGAGCCCTCCCTGAACCCACTTCCTGTCAGCGCCCCCATCCCTTCCCAGTCCAGCTGCCTGGTCCCAGGCACACCTCCATCTGGTGCCAACTGCTGTGGCAAGGCCCTTCAGCATACGGTCCCTTTCCTCTCCTGGCAGGCAAGGCACTTCTCCAGCCAGGCCATGTTATTACATGACCCTCAGCATCTGCCGGGTGGGCCTCGTTTCTGTCAGACTGCAAAGGGCAGGTGGCAGAGGCCTGAGCATGACTTTCAAGCAAGAGGAAGGAGCAGGCCACGTCTGCAGGCCTGGAGGTTTTGCGGGGGACTTGAGCTTTCCAGGGAATCACTCAGATGTCCCCAGCCGTGTTGTGGTCCCACTGCTGCCTAAGCAGGATGATGACCTTTGTCTAGCAGACTTGGCAGGTTAGAAGGGCAACCCCCACCCTCGGCCTGGAGGCCTCAGCTCTGTCTGCTCTTCTCAAAGGCCGCCAGGGAGGCCCTCTGACTTCACTTGCTGGGCTTAATCACTCTCAGCTTTTCATTTTCTCCAGTGTGGTGCTGAGGGCCCCCAAAAACAGCCCTCTGGTGCCACAAGTTTTTAAAATTTATTTTATTTTATTAAATTATTTAATAATTTATTCCTCCTTGCCCCTGGAATCCACCATTTCACTCTGATTCCATGAGTTTGACTATTTTAAGTACCTCACAGAAGTGGAATCATAATAATTTCTTTTTATGGCTGGCTTATTTCGCTTAGCTTAACATTCTCACAGTTTACCCACGTTATTGCAGGATTCCCTTTCTTAAGGCTGACATTGTACATTCTTTATCCATTCATCTGTTGATGGACACTTAGGTTGTTTCCACATCTGGCTATTGTAAATAGTGGTGCATTGAACATGGAAGTGCTAGTATCTCTGGATTTCAATTCTTTTGGATAAATAAATACCCAGACACAGACTTGCTGGATCATGTGGTATTTCTATTCTTAATTTTTTGAGGAGCCTCCGCTGTTTTGCATTCCCACCAGCAAGTACACAAGGGTTCCATTTCTCTGCATCCTCACCAGAATGTTTCTTTGTCCCATAGCTCTGACAACTGCCCCTTTCCTTAAGCTCCTTGGAGGCCAAGGACAGTGCATTCGCTCCCTGTATCCCAGCCCATCACATGCTGCAAGTCCTTGAACATCATGTGCGCAGCTCTCCTGTCCCAGGCCCAACAGTGAAGGGGCTCTTGCTGCTGGTGGCTGGCGGTGAGCAGCTCTCACCGTCGGGTGGAGCCTGTTCTGTGTACTGCTTGCTTCCACTGTCTCAGTTCAGCTTCCCCAGAAGCAGATTTGGGAGGGCGTCATCAGCACACTAGGATCACCACCCATGAGTGCGCAGGAGCAGAGGGACTGGGCAGAGGACTGGAGCGGACATGTGGCCACAGCAGAGGCCTCAGACAATCCCACAGCACGATGAAGCTGGGGTGGCCCTTCGGCAACGGTTCCAAACTGGAGAAAGGGGGTGGGCCTTTGTATTCCCATATTGACCAGTTTCCAGATGTGGACTGCCCTCAGGAAGAAGGCATAGCCACAGGTAAGGCAACTCCTTCCACTGAAGGCCTTCCCGGAGAGACTCAGCTGTGGGCCGGCAGCAGTTAACATTCTCTGCATTTGGGGGAAGGAGCACAGGTGGGCTCACACCGCATCTGCAGGGTGGCCTTGGGCTCAGACAAGCCCTGTGCTCTTGCTTGTCTTCCCATACTGCCATGGGGTGGCTAAAGACCCAGATGGAAGGAGAGGGGAGTCAACGAAGTAGGCTGGGTTCCACAGTGAGAATGAGGGGTGGCTGCAGAGTTTAAGCATCTTTTACAGCACAAGCAACCACAAGAAATGGCATGGAGGGGCAGGTATAACTAAATAAAGCAGATTGGGATATTTCACTCCTTGGGGGCTAGGACCCCTTGGCCTCCGGCAGAGGGTCACATGACATGGTAGGAAGACAGCAAGTTCTACGGCTCCCAACCCTGCCAACGCCTGCATGTGGCTGGGCTCTGCCCGCATCATTGGCAAGCACAGAACCAATCCAGAACCTTACAATGCAAGATGAGAGATGGCATCAGCAATGATCAAAGGCAGTGATCAGCGAGTGCTCCTCTGGGCAGCCCAACTGAAGCTAGATCCTTCACGACTTAAGGATACAGAATTTCAGATGTTATTTGACCTTGAAAAGTTCTGCCTTCTCGAGATGATCTAAAAGCCTGAGCCTGCTGCATGGCTTCTTCTTCTTCTGTGCCTGTCCAGCCACAACCTGCTCAGCTACAGCAGGAATATCTTACCACTCAGCCCCAGTGGCCACAACAGGGCTCCCGCATCCTTGCCCCAGGCCTGGGCAGCTGCGGTATTTGTTGATTTTGTAGCTGCTTCTTTGCATGTGCAGGTTGCCCCTTTCAGAGGTTGCATTCCAGAACACTGGTATCCTGGGGATAGCAAGTTCTTCCCCCCCATGCTGGTCTCCACTTGGCTGAGGGTCTGCAGCCCAGCTTGTTGCTATCATTCTGAGAGCAAATTATCTTAGAAATGTAAACACAGCCAATCTGAAAAGTGGCAGTTTGTGTTATCAGCTTAAAAAGGGGAAAGGTCCAGGAAGGCAAATTTACGCAATGTGCACACAAGAAGGTCTGTTTCTGAGATATCTCCCACCACCCTGTGCTGGCCTGGGAGTGCCTGGAACTTTTAGTTGAGTCCAGCCACTAGCCTTGGACCAAGTTCACAGGCAGCCACCATTTTGCATCTCTCAACAGCTTTACAGCCACACTGCCACTGCCAGGCCCCAGCAGCTGGCTTGCCTCAGTTGGCCTTTTTGCTAAAGCTGCTAGTGATGGCAGGGGTGATCCAACCCCAGGGATGAACAGGAGACCCTCACTTGCCTTGGCATCTCTTTGGCCTGCTCTTCCCCATCCGGGTTAGGAAGCGGGGCTGACACTTACCCCACGCTGTTACGTCTCTTCCTTGGAGGGGCCTGCCCTGACCACTGCATCTAAAGCTGCCTCGGGCCTCCCATCAGCCCCGAAGCCCCCGTGCCCTCCATCTGCCTCACAAACATTTGCTCAGTAAACTGTCCCTTACAGAGCCTGCCTCCATCACCCGAGAGCCTGGCTATACATTGCCTGCATTGTTTCTGGGAGTTACTTGGCAACCTTAAGAGCGAGCTGGGTGAAGGGAAGTTGTAGGGTTTTATTAGCCAGATTTCTCCTCTATTGTCATACCAACAAAACCATCACTCCAAGTTACTATGTTCAAAATCTTCATAAATATTTAACCTACCTACCAGATGTGATCGAGTGAAGCACAACTTCCTTAACCCATCCCGTCTGATAGCTATTTATTCTCCTAATTGTCTGCGGTTAAAAACAGTGCTATCATGACCACACTTAGCTCTAACCCTTCTCTGCACCAAATTATTTTCAAGGATGGCTTCTCAGAAGTGGAATCGGTGGGCTGGAGAGACAGTATAAACACTTTAAAGAGCCTGAAAACTTTTGCAGAACATCTCCCCACAGAAAGCTGCATGGAAGCTGCCTCGGCACACTGCAGCTGGCACTGGGCACCATTCATCTGCGTTTGACTGGCAGAATCCCCACTTTGGCTCATTTGCATTTCTGGTGAGGGTGACCTCTCTCTCTGTACTCTCAGGTAAGACCTCGTGGACTTCCGAGTGTTTTCCATTCCTGGGCCGTCTACACAAGGAGATGGTGGCTTCATTAGGGTAATCAAACCTCTTAAATTCTACCACAGGACAAGTTTCCTCACCCAGCCTCCCTGAAGGCTGCTCTTCCCTGCCCTTCTAGAACCCTGGCTTCTCCAGGTCAGACCTGTGTCTAGCCCTTGGCCGAGGTGAGAGGTCACTGAGACAACCTGCCTCCCAGGCTCCCCAGAGGCTTCCGCCACCATCATCTGATGCTGGGCGAGCGGGTGTGGGCGCGCCAGAGCACCTGCTGCCCAACTAGCAGGGGAACACGGGGACCCCAGTGCTGCTCTGCGGGGAAACCCAAGGGTTCTCATGAAACATTCTGACTGCGAAGGGCCTGACCAGTATCCCTGAGCTGTCTGCGCTTTAAACACAAGGGCATGATGAGTTCCGAGAGGGGACAGACGGGTGGCCCTGGGCAATGCCAACTCTCATTTCCTAGCTGTCATTAAATACTCTAAGTTACAGGGAGGTAAACCAGACAAACCCCACACCCCAAGCAGGAAGAGGACAGCCACATCACACATGGAAATCAACAACCAGATGAAGCCGCCACAGACGGGTCCACCTCCTCCCCCGCCCGCATGGCCAGGTGAAGTCAAATACACTGGTAGTTTCCATACTAGCAAAATACTTTTATTATTTTATAATGATAAAACAAGGAAAGTAAAGATCTCTTTTTGGTGTATACCAGAGTTAAAGAAGTAGAATAATAAGAAGTAGGGATTAATAGGACTTTTATGTACTTTGATGACAATAAAACGATAATAATACCAACTGTTTGCCGTAAAACTTATCATAGCTCCCCCCAAACACATATATAAAGGATCACTTTAAAATCTATAAAAGTAAAAAATATACAGTCAGAAGCTCTAACGCTTACTCCATCTTTAATATAAAATTGTAAACATTTATTTACACAAAGCAAATGTGTATAACCAAAGTCCAAGCACCCTTTTCTTGAGTCATGGCCCCTGGTGGAGGGGTTTGCACTGAAGCAGTCGGCTCCTCCCTGACTACCCAAACCAGGTTCATAAATAAAGCCATGGCTGGTGGCTCCCTGGCCCGGGAACCCCAAGCATCACATTTTATTGCTCTGACACTGGCAGCCCCAGGACAAGGAGGGGCAGCCCACCCCAGGAGGGACAGAGGCGAGCAGCAGCCAGGAGACCAGGAGAGGGACAAGGATCCATCACCAGCCTCACCTATTTTTGGTAGAAAACCTGCTGAAGACACCCTCTTCCCCTTCAGATTGGGGAACTCACTCAGAGGGTGGAGTCTTCACTGGTTTTATGATTCATTCCCTTCTTCGAGAGCTAAATTCAGCATCTGGGGAAGGCAGGGAGGGTTTTTAAAGGGGAAATGGCCCAAACACCACCCATGGTGGCAAATGGCTATCAGAGAAGAGGATCTGAGGGTCCAAGTCCCCCCATTAAAGGCACTGCTGGTGCAAAACAATTACAGAGGTGTGTACAACCCTTTTACCCAAGAGCCACTCATAGGCTGCTTCCGTGGGGACTCTCCTTGGCTCAATTCTTCCCATACTCCTTGAATTATCCATCTTGAGACTCCAGGGAAATAAAACTGGGTTGCGGTCTCTCCAGAGACTATTGTGGATACAGGCCACTCTTTTCAGTGTACTATTTTCTCTCCAACACTCTGTTTACACAGGTCTCACCCTGCGTGTACCTTCCTGCGTTCCTTACACTGAGTGCTCTCTCCATCTTCATCTTCCACAAACAGCCCACAGGTAATAAATACTGTGTTGTGGACTCTTGGCTTAGTCAAGCCCATTAACTCATAGACCTTAAAAGAGAAATCCACTTGCGTCTTTAGAAAGGATGTATTAGTGTTATAAAGCAATGCTCTATAGAAAGTGCAAGTCATCTGATGTGCGAGTGGCAGGAGTGGCGAGAAGTGGTATGCCCTCCACTGCTGGGCTGTGGCCTCCCTGCCAAGTGGGGCACACCTCTTGTTCTCTTTCCTGTTCCCTGCCCTCCGGGCCAGGGGATGCCCTCTGTCCTACAATGCTAGGACTTGCTAGGGAATTTTAATGACTCTTTCTCTTCCCTGCCAATCTAGTAAGTCATTGCTTTAAAGAGGGTTTCTATTTGGGCTGCAGAAAGAGAGAAAGGTCACGGAACGGAGGGCAAGGGGTACAGGACAAACATCCGGGCACAGCTCAGCAGCGATCACCTTCCTAATGCATTCAATCCAAGTTTTCACGGAAACTGCAGGAGGTGGGGAGTTATAACAAAAGTGGATGCAGGAATCCCACATACCCCATGTCAGTGTTTAGCCTGTAGGCTGCCCGGGGCCCTGCTACCTGCATGGGACACAGGGACTCCTTGGCAGGCTGCGCAGATGCCAACCTGGAAGCACAGCCTTGGGGAGGAGCTGGGAAGGCCACATCTGTGTCACCAGCTTTGCCATCTCATGGCATCCTGTTCCCTTTTGGCACATGTGATCACAGCCTGAACTTACGGAAATGATTTTCCAGTGACCCTCCCTTTCCCCTAAAAGTGGACAAAGATCAGGAGTAAAAAAGGCTCTTAAAATCAAAAGGAAACCCAACGTTTCCAATGCCACTTAATCAACTTAAACCACCACCTATCCTAATCTGTTTTAAACCCTTTAAAAATTTTTAATCTTTTCTATGCTACAACCTGCAAATAGTTCTGCTATATAAAGTTGCAACAAAAACTCATCGCTAACACTGGGGCAAGTGGAGAAATATTGTATTCAGTTAATGTGATGGTGCAGGTTTTAAAAGCCTGACATAGTGAAACAGGTTTCACTTTTGTTACTGCTGTTTTTTGGTCATTTGGACAGAAAACCACCTGCAAACCCTGTCCTGCTGTCCCTACACCGGGGAACGATGCCAGCAGAGAAGGCTGGGCCAGCCCGCAGACCACACTGCCGGCCTGGAGCCGCATGCCCCGCAGGTCCTGGCCAGGACCAGGCCTCAGCTCCGGGGCTCTGACTCTACTTCCCCAGCCCTGCAGACCATGGGCTTTTGGTCCAAAGTAGTAGGTCCTTCTTGAATCTGAGAACAAAAATACAGGATGTGTGAACACTGAGAACACCACAAATCCTCGTCATTGAGGCCCTAAAAGGTCGTCCAAGTCATTCATCCACTCTTCTGAAGTCCTGTTCTTCAGCAGGGAGTCAATCAGGTCAGCATCTCCAGCCATGCTGGCCAGCCCACTGCCACCTGGCTGCCCACTGTAGGCAAAGGGCAGCTCCTGGCCCGCGGTCCGCAAAGGGTAGGGCTGGGCACAGTGCAGCCCTGCCCGGCCACCCATCGGCGGGGCGGGGCTCTGGCTAAAGGCCCCCAGCTCAGGCCCCGCTGAGCTCAGGCCTGGCAAGCCCTGCTGTGGGGCCCCCTGGGGCGGCGTGGGAGCAGGGGCACCGGTCCTCTGTGCTGTGCCCACAGCGGGCAGCATGGGCCCCGCTGCAGCTGCTGAGCTCATGGGAGCCATGGGCCTGCTGGGCACTGCCTGGGAGAACTGTGGGCTGGACATTTTCAGGTGGGCCTGCTGCATGTGGAAACTGGAGGCTGCGGTGAAGGGGCTCACTGTGCTGTTCCCTGGGGCCTGGCCACTCAGGTTTGGCATTCCCTGATGTTGCCATGAGGGATTCTGGCTTCCCATGGCTGCTGACACCCTCGGGACCTGTGGTTTAGTTAACCCAGAGTTCAGGGCCCCCTTATTGTGCTGCTGGGAGAGGCCAGAGCTCCCCAGAGAGTTCTGCCCATAAGCAGCTGAAACCGAGGTGCTCTGGCCCACGCTGGTCTGCCGTGGAATATGGGCATGTCCATTGGTGGCCTGGGGTGGGGGCTGGGCAACCATTTGGGTCACGCCAGAGGCCATCCCATAGAGGCTGCTCTGTGGCATACTCTGAGAGCCAGTGAACTGAGCCACACCCCGTTCCTGCTGGCCTGAGTTCGAGGGTAGAGTGGAAACCGAAGTGTGTCCAGGACCCATTGGCATTAGATTCCCAGCCTGAGGGAACACGCGTGGACAGCTGGGGTTAGATGGACCCAAGTTGTTCATGCCAGACACGGCAGCAGAGGACCCTAGAAGTCAGAAAAGATTCTCTCAATCAAGCTGGCATTTTTTGACCTCCACTGTGGAGACAACTCCAAGACCCAAGATGCAGCCGCTCTCCTACGGGTAAAAAAGGCAAAATCTGGAACACTAGACTTCTCACCATCCGTGGAACCTCAAAGAGAGCCCTGGCGGCCAGAGAGGTAGCAGGTTTCCCAGTGGGTGTAATGGAGGCCAGCCTAGGGCAATGAGGAGATACAGACAAAGGGGAGAGGCCCTGGGAGGGAAAGCCAGTGGACTCATTAGTTCACCTTTCAAAGGCCCACCCCATTTCTGCTCTGTGGTAGGCCCTATGCTGGGCAATGTGGACTCTTAAGACAGATCTGACCCCAGATCTGCCACTGGAAGGCAGAGACTCCACGTGGTGTGAAGGGGTCACAACAAAGGCTGGGCAGCAAGCCACAGGAGTGCAGGGAACCCCACGCTCAATGAAGGCTCAATGCCTGGGAAGATTTGGGGAAGGCTTGGAGAGATGGTGAGAAATACATTGGGCTTTAACAGAGGAAAAGTTTAGCAATTTGGCAGTTTGGAGAAACAATATTCTAGGCAGAGAAAAGAGTGTGCAAAGGACAGAGTTCAGTAGGGCAGTCTGGGTGGGGAGCTCCATGCCTGGGGTCGGAGGGTACATCCATCTGGTTAGATCCAACCCAGACAGGTGCAGAGGAGCTGCAGCTGCCATGTGCAGACAGGGCTGCCCAGCCAGAGGGTACCTGGACAGTGACTCTGCTTCACACCTGGGAGGGCAGGGACTTGAAGCCACTGAGAGGAGGGGTGCACACCATGTGGCGCTGTGGGTAAGAGGAGATGTGAAACTCTACTTTTCATAGCACAGAAGGACAAGAGATCAAGAGCGGGACAAGTCTGACTGAGATCAGCAGACACCAACCATGAGCCTCATCTGTGGTGGGTGCTATGCCGGGAGACTGCACAGAATGGGACACAGGTCTTGTCCTCAGGGAGCATGCTGCATGGGGTGCTGCCTTCAGCACTAAACATATGGTGAAAACATTAAGTGAGACAAGTCTCAGCTGAGGAAGCAGGGAGCTGAACCAGTCTATTTCTCCCACCGACAGCCCACAGTCATGCTGGATGGAATGGAGGCAGGAAAGCCGGCTGAGAGCCCCGCTTCTCAGATGCCTACACACTCCAACTCCACGGCCCAAGTTAGAACATGCATAAACCCCCACCTGGTCTCCACCAGGATGCATGGCTGTAGCCAGTTTCTCTGGGAGACACTAAGGATAGGTTTTAAGGAGACTCTTACAAGAGCTAGGAAGGCAGGTACAGTCAAGATTTTACTGCATCTTTCAAATGAATCTCTATGTATTTCTGGAGTGACAGCCTGAGCAATGGCAGTCAGGCTCCCTTACACATCTGAGACGTGACAGCTGAGATGTCGACTTGCTCCCTGCCCTCTCCTGCTACTGTCATCCACACGACCAGAGTAGGCAGACAGGACCAAAGGAAAGCAGAAAAGGCCACACAAGTACAGTAAACCCCTCCTTACCTGGAAAATAGGAGAGGGTTGTTTTCGGAAGAGACAGGTACAGCAGAAGCAAAGAACTTTCTTAAGACTTAAAGGAGCATTTCCTGCTGGTAAGATATCCTCCAACTAGCAATGATTTTACCTTAAAAGATTGCCCAGCCAGAGACCTAACCAAAGCACTTAGCTAAAGTGGTTTGCTTCTATGACCCTCTTCACCTGGCATGCAGGTTAACCAGAAAGCCAGGCTCCTTAGGCAGACTGAAGCTTATGTAAGCAAATAAATCCATGGAGCACCTAGCATAAAGCTGGGTAGACAGCAGGGACTCAGCGTGAGTGGGACATCCCCCCAACTCTGTCCAGTGCCTGCCTGCCCTGCCCCGCCATCCCCTTGGGATGCCCCTCACCTGTGAACTGGCCAACCTGCTGTGGGAAGGTGCTCTGTGTTGGGTCTTGGTACTGGGGTGGTGGGCGGGTCAGATGGCGCTGAAACTGCTGCTTCTCCTAGAAAATGCCAAGAACAACAAACAAAACAAGACCCACATATAACAAGACAGAGATCAGAGAAAAGTACAGTATCCAAGTTTGTTATTTACAGATGGATGCCTATAGAGATACTGTTGGTGATCTTCTTTTGGGAATTTTTTAAAAAACAGTATGAAACAGAATGATGGGGCAGATCTAAGCAACGATAAAAAAAAAAAGGTGGTGTATCAATTCTAAAAAATGGAAGGCAGATCAGGGAAATGCAAACGGAAGCCACAGTGCTGCACCACCTACACCCACGAAGACAGTGAGAATCAGAACGACCATCAGTGTGGTGGTCTATCAACATATCACATATTATGTGCTTCACAGTTGGCGGGGCAGGGGCTTAAAGCCACTGAGAGGAGGGGCACACACCATGTGGCGCTGCAGGTAAGAGGAGATGTGAGACCCTATTCTTTATAGCCCAGAACTACAAGTGGTCAAGGGCATGTATCACCAGCACACCATGCTGTGGCAATGTGAGATGGCGCAACTGCTTCAGAAAACAGTCCGGCAATTACTCAGAAGGTTAAAGAGTCACCATATGACTTTGCAAATAACCGAAAACCTATGTCCTCAAAAAGGGGACACAACTCAAACATCCCCCAACAGATGAATGGATAAATAAAAGGCAGCATATTCATACAATGGAATATTATTCAGCCACAAAAACAAGGGAAGTAATGATACATGCTAGATGGCTGAACCTTGAATACATTCATATGAAATGTCTAAAATAGGTAAATCTACAGAGACAGATAGTAGATTAGTGGTTGCCTCGGCCTGGGGAAAGGGGCAAACCACTTTCAGTGGGCAGAAGGTTTCTTTTCAGATGATGAAATGTTCTAAAATTGACTGGTGATGGTCGCACAACTTGTGAATACACTAAAAATCTGAATCATACACTTTAAATGTATAAATTGTGTATTATGTGAATTACAGCCCAATAAAGCTGTTTAAAGGCAGAACTGAGGCAGTGATGTGGGTTTAAAGTCATCTTCAATCTCTCTGGGCAGCATCTTCTCTAATGCCTTAAAGACATAAGTTAAAACCCTGACAAGTCTTATAACCTCAGTGCCTGCACTGCACTTGGGGGAGACAGGCGGTGGAGGTGGGGGGACCTTCCGTCCTGGTTCTGGAGCCCAGCGATGCTGTCCTTCCCGGCCTTCACTCTGCATCTACAAGCAAGCTGGGTCCTGAGCAGCTGGGTCCTGAGCCCAGTGAGCCCAGAGCTCCAGCAGCTGCTGCAGGGTGACACACAGCTAGTTCCAGGAGGCCTGCAGTAACTCCCACCACACAGGTACCAGTGACACATGCACTGCTGGAGGGTGGCACTCTGTAGGACCTGCCCACCCCACAGGACCCGCCCCCACCCCGCAGGCCCCCGCTCCCCACTCCCAGACCTGTCCTGCCAGAAGGTGCTGCTGTCGCTGCAGGAACTGCTGCTGCTGCAGATGCTTGTGCTGCTGCTGCTGCTGCTGCTGAGGGTCCAGGAGCAGCTGGCGCTGCTTCATAACGGCCGCCTGCTGCGGGCTTCTCAGGTAGGGGGCGCTGCTGTGTGCGCCAGCCCCAGACACGGCAGGCGCTGCCGCCTGGGTGGCTGCGGGGCCACCGGTGGTGCTCTGCTCCTGTGGACACAGCAGGGAGGGCCCAGTCAGGGGCCGCACCGAGGCCCCCTGGCCCCAACCATGCCAGGGCTCTGTCCTCTCGCTCTCAAAGCATATGCACGTCCAGGCACAACCAGGCAGTCACGGCCTCTGTCAGCTTTGCTTCCTGGGAGTCACCAGTGGCAAAGGCATGACTCTCAAATTTAAGCTCCAGGAGGCCCCCCCGGAGGCGCTGACTGGCAGAGGCGCAAGGCAGACCCTGCAGTGGGGCTGCCCCGCTGACTGCGGCCCGTGCTCTGGGTGTGGCACTCTCCCGGGAAGGGACAGCCTGGCTTCTGTTGGATACTCATGCTCAGAAAGGACCCAGTATCAATGAAAACTCTGATGGATATTCTTTTACTACATGGGCCAAAAGTGAGAATCGATTACCACAGTGTCATTACATTTAAAAGAGAGAATTGAACTCAAAACAGGAAAAAGGCAAAAAGCAATTATTTAAGTAAGTTCAACTTTTTGAGCTCCTTTCCAGTCCTTATTTAATCTTAACACAATTCTAACCTTGGAGCAGACAGATTCTAACTTCCTCATCCTAGTAACTAGGAGCTTCTGGGTGACCAGGGGGCCCTGTGAGGCGCCAAGGGCCACTGCAGTGACTGCCGCCCCAGGCCACCTCCTCAGAGCCACTTTCCCCGGCTGAACTAGGCAGGAGTTTCAGCACTGGCACGTGCATTCTCCGGCTGGCAGACAACTCAACTGTTTCCAGTTTTTGGCTACTAGAAATAATCATGCAAGGAATACTGTGTCTACAACTTTCTTTTATCATTATGTCTTGCAGGGGTATAATGTGTCAAAGCTTAGGGACATTTTTATGGCTTATGAAAAATATATAATGCCAAATTACCTTCTGAAAGCATCATGCCCACTTACTGTCACCAGTAGGAGCATGTCAATTTCCTCAGTTATACCAGTACTGGGTCTAATAATTTTTAAAATTTTAGTGTGTGCTACAAATACACAAAGTACTGCTACAAATACACAAAATACTGCAGTCCTGTTCACACTAGTGAAGACAGGTGGCCATGAAGCACACCCACACAACTGCACATTGCATGACTGTTCTTACACTGCTAAAACCCATTCATTGGCAGATCTACACATGCAGACTGTGGGGCAGTCCAGGACACACTGTGGGGTGAGGAACCCTGAGCTCACCTGGCTAGGTGGAACCAGTGATCGGAAAGGCATGTTTCCCGGCTTTGGCTTCATAAGAAACAAGGAGTTCTGCTCGCTGCTTAGAGGCAGCTGCTGGGGAAGATACGCCAACAGGGCCGTCTTGCTCTGGCCAGACCCAGGGCCGTTTTGCCCACAGTCTGCTTTGTAATGAGAAAGGGGTTTGGTATTGCCATAGTCCAGTACCGCCCCTTGGTTAGTCACAGCATTCTGAGCCAAGTTACTTGACGGCTGGTGACTCAGCAGGTTCACATGGCTGGGCTGGAGGTAGGGACCTCCAGGCCGAGGGGAACTCTTATTTACACTGGGCATCATGAGCAATTTGGAGCTGGTGAAATCTTGCTTGTAGCCAGCAGGGCTGGCAGCTTTCTCCATAGGGTAAGGGACATTTAAGGGGCTGTGGGAGGGGCCTGTCTGCTGCCATGTGGACATCTGGCCTGGGGCTGGAGCAGGGGCTGCCTGCTGTGAGTTCTGGAGCATCTGTTCACGCTTCTGTTTGGCAGCTATCTGCTGGAGCTGGTGGGCAGAGGACAGCTCTGAGGCCCCTCCCGGGCCCTGGCTGGGCACCACCACACTGGAAAGGGCTCTTTGTGCATTCTGGGTCTGGGCTGATGCCAGCATCAGACTGGGACTAGGATTGTCCACCCCGGGCTGAGCAGGGGTGTGGAAAAGAGGCTGGGAGCCCCCTAGACTGGGTGACTCTGTGCTCATCGGGCCTGCTGAAGGCCCCATATAGGTCTGTCCTGCAGACCCAGCCCTCACTTGTGGAGAGCCCAAGTGTTCTTGTTCAAAGGCTGCTGGAGAAAATTCTGTCTTAATATTAATGTCCTGGGCCAAGGGGGTCTGTGTGGCAGAACCAGAAGACTCTGGGTCCTTCTTTTCCTCGAAGTCCTCATTAAACAGATCCTTCATGTCTTCATCGGGCACTGACCTGTTCAGTTCCTCGATGAGCTCCTTCCACTCCTGCTCATTAAGGTTGAGGTCAGGCATGAGGTTGCTTTGTGATATGGAGCCCCCAGCCCCTGAGATCATGCAAGGCAGGTCATCCATGGGCTCCTGCTTCAGTTCCTTATTCAGGCTCAGAGGGAACGACTCACCGGGGTTGCTGCCTCCATTCACGTGGAGGCTCGAGTCTACCAGACACTTCTTGTTGATGGAATCCAGCCCCAGCGGGTGCTTCCCACTGGCCTGCAGGGCCTCTGCCCCCAGCTTGTCAGGTGGACCCAGCGGGGAGGCTGGAGGCAGACCATTGGAGGAGACAGCTACTCCCAGAGCGACCTCCCGGCGGGTCTTCTTGTGCCCCGGAAAGAGGTCTCCATAGCCATTCTGTTGATCAACATTTTGGGGGGAAGTGGCACTGTCGAGGTTCCTCTTCACTGTATCATGGAGATGCTAGAAAACAAGGGAGAGTGACTTACACACACACCACCATGCAGGAGGCCCCTCTGCTCCAAGGGCATCTTAAACCAGGGGCTTGTACCCCTGTGGCGCTCTCCTGCTGAGTACTCACCCAAACTACACTCACTCCCCACTTCTGACAACATACCCCCATTCTCCCCAGCAGTTGCCTCTCTGCCCCACAGGGCACCCCCTCCTGCTTTAGAAGCCTCAGCCAAGGACAACTAGCTCAGCTACTGTAAGAGAAGCAACCCAGCTGCTGCCAATGTGTCGGCCCCTAGACGCTGCAGCCTCTCCTCCTGCCTGACACAGCCTGATGCTGCCCAACACCTGCTCTCAGGGCATGCCTAAGAACGCAGCCATGAGAAAGAGCCAGAGGACACACATACATTCTAAGAGCATCATCTGAGTCCTGCATCTGGTTGCATCCCAAAGCAGCCAACCTCCTGGACTTCTCACTTACTGGAACCCGCAAGTCCCTCCCGGTGTTTAAGCTGGTCTGGCTGGATTTCTGTTGCGTTCAGAAGGAGCCCTGGCTTTCGCAGGCTTTCTCGGCCTAAGGGGGGCGCCCAGGTCAGTTTCCATGCCCTTCCTGGCCGTTTAGGAGCCCAGCTCAGCTCCACCCAGGCTGGGCTGTCTCCTCCTATGCCCTACTTGGCCCAGGCTCCTCCCTGCCAGGCCTGAGCCTAGTCCCCAGCCCTCACGAGCTACACCACTTCTTATCAAGACCATTTATTTGAACACTGGCGTTCTCGTTTCTCCACGCCCTCCTCAACCAGATTCCTTCAGCCAACCTTATTCAGAGTTTGCCTTGTGCCAGGGCCGGTGCTGTGAGCTTATCAAGATAAAATGAAGCAGTCCTTGCTCTTTGTGGGCTTTCAGCCTTCCAGCCCAGGGGACACACAGACATAAAGCCCTATGCACACAGAAGAGCAGTTGGCATCCAAGATCTCAGGGGCGGCAGTTTCACGGGGGGAACATGACCATGGGGGTGGAGAATAGAAGGTGCCATCTTTCTACTTCTTTCCGCAGCCATGTTTTCAGCCATCAGGACATGACTCCGCCACTAACACAGAGGCACCTACACTTAGCCTCGCACATGCTGCTCCTTCGCTATGTTTACTTTTGTTACATTTTCATCCTTCATCCCTCACCCCCAATCCCATCCCTCCCTCCCATTCACCCCATGCATCTGTACGGTGCCATCTAGAAAGTTCCCAGTAGCAGCTTTTAGTACTATCTTTAAATAGATTTCAGAGTCAGAAAGGAGCACGCGTCCCTCTGGCTGCAGAGAAGGGCCACACAGACCCTCCACATCTGCAAAGGAGCCTGAGCACAGGAGGACTCAGCCCTGGGTCCCTGCCCAGGGCAGCTCCATGGGCACTGGCTCTCACCAGCCTGGGACTTGCAAGACACAAATGTTAAGTAAGAGGGAAAACAAGGTGGCACTTTTCTCAGTCTCAGTGCTAACGCTCCCCCTTCCTTACCCCTATGTCAAGATTTCCTTATCTCTTAACTGTTGAAGCAGTGCTTTATGAATCTTGGCTGTATCAGGATCCCCCCCCCATTATTTATTTATTTATATTTTGGTATCATTAATATATAATTACATGAGCAAAACTGTGGTTACTAAATTCCCCCCGTTATCAAATCCCCACCACATACCCCACTATAGTCACTGTCCATCAGCATAGTGAGGTGCTATAGAGACACTACTTGTCTTCTCTGTTATACTGCCTTCCCCATCCCCCCTCATCATACTATATGCTAACTGTAATTGCCCCTTATTCCCCTTCTCCCTCCCTTCCCACCCACACCCCCCATTCCTTTGGATTCTATGAGTCTGCTGCTGTTTTATTGCTTCAGTTTTTGCTTTGTACTTATGCTCCACAGATGAGTGAAATCACTTGGTACTTGTCTTTCTCTGACTGGCTAGTTTTACTGACCATAATACCCTCTAGCTCCATCCATGCTGTTACAAATGGTAGGATTCGTTTTCTTCTTATGGCTGAATAATATTCCATTGTGTATATATGTACCACATCTTCTTTATCCATTCTTTTTTATCCATTCAGTGACTCTATGTCTTTTGATTGGTGCATTCAGATCATTTACATTTAGGGCGATTATCGATAGGTATGTACTTATTGCCATTGCAGGCTTTAGATTCGTGGTCACCAAAGGTTCAAGGGTAATTCTCTTACTATATAACAATCTAATTGAAGTCAATATGCTATTACAAACACAACCTAAAGGTTCCTTTTTTCCCCCCTGCTTTTTCTTCCTCCTCCATTCTTTTTTTTTTGATTAAGATATGATTGATATACACTCTTATGAAGGTTTCACATGAAAAAAGAGTGTGGTAACTACATTTACCTATATTATCGGGTCCCCACCCATACCCCAATGCAGTCACTGCCCATTAGTGCAGCAAGATACTGCAGATTCACTATGTGCCTTCTCTGTGCTACACTGTTCTCCCCATGATCCTCCACACCATGTCTACTAAACATAATGCCCCTCAATACCCTTCTCCCTCCCTACCCAACTGCCCTCCCACATCCCTCCCCTTTGGTAACCACTAGTTCATTCTTGGAGTCTCTGAGTCTGCTGCCATTTTGTTCCTTCAGTTTTGCTTCATTGTTATACTCAACGAATGAGGGAAATCATTTGGCATATGTCTTTCTCCACCTGGCTTATTTCATTGAGCATAATGTCCTCCAGCTCCATCCATGTTGATGCAAATGATAGAATTTATGTTTTTCTTATGGCTGAATAATATTCCATTGTGTATATGTACCACATCTTTATCCATTCATGTACTGATGGACACTTAGGTTGTTTCCATATCTTGGCTATTGTAAAAAGTGCTGCGATAAACATAGGGGTGCATATGTCTTTTGGAATCTGAGAAGTTGTATTCTTTGGGTAAATTCCAAAGAGTGGGATTCTGGGGTCAAATGGTATTTCTATTTTTAGTTTTTTGAGGAACCTCCATATTGCTTTCCACAGTGGTTGAACTAGCTTACATACCCACCAGCAGTGAGGAGGGTTCCCCTTTATCTGCATCCTCGCCAGCATTTGTTGTTCTTAGTTTTTTTAATGCTGGCCAGCCTTACTGGTGTGAGGTGATATCTCATTGTGGTTTTAATTTGCATTTCCCTGATTATTAGTGACATGGAACATCTTTTCATGTGTCTGTTGGCCATCTGAATCTCTTCTTTGGAGAACTGTCTCTTCATATCCTCAGGTTATCCATTTGTTAATCAGGTTATTTGCTTTTTGGGTGTTGAGGCGTGTAAGTTCTTTATATATTTTGGATGTTAACCCCTTGTCGGATGTCATTTACAAATGTATTCTCCCATACTGTAGGATGCCTTTTTGTTCTGTTGATGGTATCCTTTGCCATACAGAAACTTTTTAGTTTGATGTAGTCCCATGAGTTCATTTTTGCTTTTGTTTCCCTTTCTCGAGGAGATGTGTTCAGGAAGAAGTTGCTTATGCTTATATTCAGGAGATGTTCGCCTATGTTGTTTTCTAAGAGATTTATGGTTTCATGACTTACATTCAAGTCTTTAATCCATTTCGAGTTTTCTTTTGTGTATGGGGTTAAACAATAATCCAGTTTCATTTTCTTGCATGTAGCTGTCCAGTTTTGCCAACACCAGCTGTTGAAGAGGCTATGATTTTCCCCACTGTATGTCCATGGCACCTTTATCATATATTAATTGACCATATATGGTTGGGTTTATGTCAGGGCTCTTTACTCTGTTCCATTGGTTTATAGGTCTGTTCTTGTGCCAGTACCAAATTGTCTTGATTACTGTGGCTTTGTAGTAGAGATTGAAGTCAGGGAGTATAATCCCCCTTGCTTTATTCTTCCTTCTCAGGATTGCTTTGGCTATTCAGGGTCTTTTATGGTTCATATGAATTTTAGGATGATTTTCTCTAGTTCATTGAAGAATGCTGTTGGTATTTTGATAGGAATTGCATTCAATCTGTAGATTGCTTTAGGCAGGATGGCTATTTTGACAATATTAATTCTTCCTATCCATGAGCATGGGATGAGTTTCCATTTATTGGTACCTTCTTTAATTTCTCTTAAGAGTGTCTTGTAGTTTTCAGGGTATAGGTCTTTCACCTTCTAGGTTAGGTTTATTCCTAGGTATTTTATTCTTTTTGATGCAGCTGTGAATGGAATTGTTTTCCTGCTTTCTCTCTCTGCTAGTTCATTGCTGGTGTATAGGAATGCCACAGACTTCTGTGTATTAATTTGGTATCCTGCAACTTTGCTGAATTCAGATATTAGATCTAGTAGTTTTGGAGAGAATTCTTTAGGGTTTTTTATGTACAATATCATGTCATCTGCAAACAGGGTCAGTTTAACTTCTTCCTTGCCAATCTGGATGCCTTTTATCTCTTTGTGTTGTCTGATTGCCACGGCTAGGACCTCCAGTACTATGTTGAATAGAAGTGGGGAAAGTGGGCATCCTTGTCTTGTTCCCAATCTTAAAGGAAAAGCTTTCAGCTTCTTGCTGTTAAGTATGGCATTGGCTATGGGTTTGTCATATATGGCCTTTATTATTTTGAGGTACTTGCCCTCTATACCCATTTTGTTGACCATGAATAGATATTGAATTTTATCAAATGTTTTTTCAGCATCTATGGAGATGATCATGTGGTTTTTGTCCTTTTTGTTGATGTGGTGGATGACGTTGATGGATTTTCGAATGTTGTACCATCCTTGCATCTCTGGCATAATCCAACATGATCATGCTGGGTGATCTTTTTGATGTTTTTTTAAAATTTGGTTTGCTAATATTTTGTTGAGTATTTTTGCATGTATGTTCATCAGGGATATTGGCCTGTAATTTTCTTTTTTTGTGGTGTCTTTGCCTGGTTTTGGTATTAGAGTGATGCAGGCCTCACAGAATGAGTTTGGATGTATTCCCTCCTCTTCTATTGTTTGGAAAACTTTAAGAAGAATGGGTATT